AGGCTCCAGCTTTTTGTTTAGGAAATTCTCAGTCTGCTTGTCTCATCTCTGCTATAGACCTCAATAGACTTTAAGTCTGTTCTGCCCTCTTCTGTACCTGTAGCAAATACACGGTCAAAACCTGCCCAGAACAAATGACAAGCTTTTGGCTAACAGGGTTAATGACAATCTTTCTTAGGTGCCAAAAGTGTAAGAAAGGAGACATCTTTTTGCTCTTACAAAGAATTGCAATCTGCTATAGCTCTACTAAGGGCTAAATTTAATACACCATAAAGACAAGATGCATTATTTTAGGTTAGCTTTAAATAAATTTTCCTTTTTGTTTTCCTCCACAAATCCAACATGCATTTTCAGAATAAAGATAATCAGTCCCAGACAAGCTTAAAGGATGTCTCCTCTCAAGCACAAAATAAACCAAGAGCTTGGATCTTACTAGTGAAACGTATAACTAACCTTACATCTGGCAACAAATAGTTTAACTAATTATCTGTAATGTTACTTTTGAGGGAAGAAATGGTTTATGGAAGCATGCCATGGCTCCACAGACCACTGCATTGGCAAAATACAGTACTGCAGGATGGTAATACAAGATGGGCATGTCACTCTCTTAATTTTTGTACTTAATGCATCTCTAGCCAGAGGTTTAATCTCAGGTAAGCTGTTGGGAGGGAGGTCAGAACTGCACCAGGCTGCTACGACAGAACCACAGCCCCACCACAATCATTTCCTATGCTCATTCAATCTTTTCAATCAAAATGGCATTTTTGACTTACCACAGAATTCTGAATTGAGTTTAGGCAGTTAGTGCTATGTGCAGCTGCATTCTTGGACATTCAGAATCCTGTAGGTAAGTAGGACAGGAGTTACTTGCTTTGTGCTAAGGATCATCTACAGGTCTGTACTACTCTTGCATTGAGTGAGGCACTGAGTGAAACCAACCTCAAGTTCTCACTGCCATGGGAGAGAATCAGGCCCAGTAACAGGAATTAGTCCTTCATGCAGCTTACCAGAAAACTTCATCTCTTTTTCAAAGGAATTAATTCTATTGAACTTTGGTCAAAAAAAAAAAAAAATGAGTGGCTGTAGCAAAATGGCCTGCATAAAGGGTAAAATAAAAAAGGGAAAATTAGATGAGCACTGGATGGGAAAGGTAAGAGATTACCAAAAGCGCCAGGACAAAGGAAAGACTAAAAACCTGAAAATCCAACTATTTGAAGCCTAAGCTAAAGTCTGGCACATTGTGAACAGTTTGCAAGCTTGCCTCTGGAATGGCTGGGGAACACACAACCCATGCTTAATTCAAGGCAAGTTCAAGACCTGGGATTAGGCCCTTTCTTATTGCTTCTGATACGCTCTGCATTTCAGAATCAACCCAGGGGCATATGGAAGATCATCTTCTGTTGCACAAAGACAGGAAGTGAACTCGCTTCTTCACCAAGGGATTGCAGTTTTCTTGGAAGAAGAATGTTTTCAATTATTCAAAAAACTGGCTTAGCACACAGCACCAAGATCCCAGACCCTGCAGCTTCTGAACCCAGCAAGCTCCTTCAGCTCCTGGCAGCACAGTGTGAGCAAAGCCTGGATCCAAGATTACTAACTTCATAACTTCTGGATTTGTCAGAGTGTCTTCTCCTCAGAGTGGCTGTGTTGCCTGTAGGACACATTGGTATAGTACAGTTTGTAAAGTACAAGGAATTCCTAAGTGTCACTTCACAGACCACAAAAAACATACACAGCCAGTACTGACAAGAATTGTGTGCCTTCTTGTATGTGCAAGAGCAGGCAGAAGCACTGCTGAGCAACTTACTCCGGTAGCAGGAACAGAAGGTACCAAGGAACTGTTTCAGGGTCATTAGGTTCCTCAAGCTGTGAGAAACAGCAAGGAGTAGAGAACTGAGAGCACAGACACTTATTATTCACCAAACATATGCACTACCTGCTCCTCACACAATGAGCTGTCTACCAATACATTTTCAGAACTTCTTTTTCTTGGGTTTTTTGGTTGTTTTCTTTTTTGAAATCACAGTTGTGGGACTACAGCATTTCCCAAATTCTTTCCTGTATTCATGATAGGAGCCTAGGACTTCACAATGCAGGGTGTTAAAAACCCACAAAGTCAAACAAACAGAAAGTCCTACCTTCAGCATGAAAGAAATGAAAGCTAAAAAATTCAGTGAGTGTAAGACTACAGCCACAACACCCGCTGTTTTTAATGCCAAGTTCTATCCTATCAGGGAGGCTGGAGCTCAACATGCCAACTGTCAGATCAAATAGATCAAACCACCACTCTTCAGTTTGTTTTTCAAATACCTTTCACACAGGGATGACTAGCAAGAAACCCAGGTTTGTACATTAACTATAAGCTATTGAATGATCCTCACCATTTCTGAAGTACTTTGAATCAAAACTAATGTCTTCTTATGAAGGAAAAACCAAACCTCCTAGGTCTTTCTTCAAGACAGCTTTTGGTTGTATGTTAGGGCATCAGCTCTGAAACACTGCTTCTTGTGATGGGAGGATTTTATAGTTACAACTGCAATTAAGAAAGAACAGAACCAAAAAACTTCATCTTTTCCCCACAACATTTGTGACTCCATGGCATTCTCCCAGCAGACTTACACAGGGATTTTACATTCCACAAAACTTTGCCAAATGATAACAGTATATTAACTATGAATCATAGAACATCTGTGGTCTAAATTCAACCAAGACACAGTTTCACCACTTCCGCTTGAAAAACAGTACACATTTATCTTCAACTAGCCAAAAGATTGATTTCTACACATTAACAACCAAGACAAATATTACACTGAATTAACATCTTGAAAAAATATGAAGGAGTTGCCTGTTTACTCACTCTAACTCTATAAGGAATGCTGAAAGTGCAGTCAGTAGGTCTGTTGTTTAACAACTGCAGACTTTCCAGGTGATTCTGAAAGCTACCAGCTCATCTACAAACATTTAGCTCTCTGAAAAGATACCAATTTATAAATTACTTCAAATTATTGCAGCCTTAACAGAAGCTTAGTTTACAGTTTAATACCTGTAGCAATAAAATACTTGCAATAGGAATTACAAGATAGATAATGGCGCATAACTTGGAAACAGAAAGTGACTTTGACCCCTTATGATGATATCTTAAAAAGTATATGAATACAAAACTTCCAAGCTCAAAGAAGTCATTTGCTGTTGACAAACCTTGTACTGTTCACCCTTAAGACTCACTGTAGTTTCAGTTACATTTTAAGTATGAAAAACACATCCTCTTATCTTTTCAATAAACTCCATTCAATATCAATAAGTTCCATTCAAAGCTTCTGACAGCCAAATACGTGCAAAGTGAAAAGTCAGTCAGTGGTGTTCAACATCATTTTAATCTCCACTGAGGGAAAACCATATAAACATGTTAACACAAACAGAAAAGCCCATATGGTACAATGACAGGGTTTAGGTTATAGAAATGTAATTTATAATTTTATAAAAATTATATGAAAGAATAACATCATATTTCAGTAACATCAGACAGTGTAGAAAAAAATAAACCTCGACATTAGCTGTACTCTGATGGTCCTTCTAGTAAGAAATTTAAAAGTGCTTCTTAATAACAGTGTTGCAACTCAAGATTAGTGCAATACGTCAGCTCTTAAAGCAGGTATTTATAGCAATTGTGCAAGTTCTTACAATTAACAAACCCCATCAATCTAAAAATTAACACTGCGTGAGGTAAGTACCCTAATTAGAATGAAACATTCCTTAAATAGCTTCCACACCAATTCTACTGCAAGGAAAATAGTTGTGTTCCTTCATAGGCTCAAATCTAAACATAAGGCGAAACCCGTATCACAAATCAGTGAATATTTGGAAGTTAAAAAGGTCTTGCAAAATATATAGTTTAGTACGTTTATGACTCAGTGCTACAAACAGAACCTAATGCCGTAAATACCAACTTAAATAAAACCAAACTTTACAGTAAGTATACTGAGTTTGCTTTAAATACACTGTTTTGTTCCCATCTCCTCCTAGAAACTCCTATACAAAGTTAGCACATTAACTTAATGTGGAAATCTCACTGTATTTTTAACTGTAAATAAGAACAATTCAGTTACCAACTGTGACTGCAACTATTTGTACCATCACTTTCTGAGCAAGTGAAACACAGCATTAGGTGGGGGGAAGAAGAAAAGTATCCAATATCCCTCTTCACTTGTTTCTACACGACAAGCTGGCAATAATAAAAGATACCCTGTATTTCTACATTGTGTTTTTGGCACAAATTCTCAGAACTCTAAAATTAGTCTTCATTTTGTCGTAGTTCCTTTACTCTGTGATTTACGATGCATAGTACCTATCACTTTTTATATGCAGGCTTCATTTTAAGAGAGGCAAAACCCAGACTGTTAATCCTGAGCCCTTATGGCTCATTTGCATAAGTAGCCAAAGGCATTTCATATTCTGTTTCTCAAGGTGTTTATAAGTGTGATTTAAGTCACTGTCAACAACAGGAATAAAATATCAATTAATAACTATTTGTTCTAATAGGCTTCAAAGCCTACCAACTGAACTGGTTTTTATAGTATTGCACTTAACCTTAGTACTAAAGTGACAGTTGAAGCCTGCACAGAACTTGTTTTATAATAATATTTCAATTTAAAAAGCAATAAATAAAACACAGTATCTTAAAAAAAAAAAAAAAAAAAAAAAAAAAAAGTGCCGGTAGGTTTAGTCTATATTTTCCCCATCACAGCCCAAACTGCACCATCCAAAATAGCTCTGGCACAGTCTTTGGATACCAACTGCATAGTTCTTTCAACATAATAGACCACTCATAACAGTAAGAGAAGCAATTAAATCTACCTACAGTACTACTATAAACTGAAAGACAGTACCCATGAGTATGTGCCTCGCTTAGCTTAAAAGGATTTGTTGCCTCTGCTCAAGATAGCTTCAGCAGTTAGACACAGTTATTCTGTGACTGCATATTATCTCTACTGTGTTATTTTACAGGCAAGTTTAGACTTTTTTCTTTTTTTTTATTAACCCTGATAATGATACAGAGAATCCCTGCTCCTAAAACTGAAAGTTGTGTCCTAAAATTTAGTAACTTGTCATTGCAGTGACAAGTTGGTTAAGTCTTTAACAGAGTCTCTGATCATCTGTTCTACCTTAGGGTTTCCAGCTCCACTGGTTGCTAGCTCCTTGTCAATAAGCCCCAGGTTGTGCAGATTGAGGATGGAATCAGCAATGATCCGTGCTGTCCTCTTCTGGTAACCCCCAGATGTCACCATCAGGATTGGGATTCTGCGCCTTCTGGCAGCCTTGAACACGACTTCATCCCTCTTCACAATTCCCTGCAAGTGTACAACAGGTACAAAAGAAGTTGTATGAATATATTTTAGTTCTAGCCTCCAGCTTATGGATTTATAGTAGTAGATGCTCAACAAGTGATTAAGCTAAGCTTTACATTTTACAATAGAAATAAAAACTCCATTTAGAAGTCCTGTTAGCTGATTTACATGCATCATCATTAAAATAATCACAAGAAAAAGGAAAAACACCAAATCAAAAATCCTTGACTTGCTTCTAGAGGACATAACAGAGAAAAGTCTTTAGTATAAATTCCTAGGAGAATTCTGCTCAAAGGCCATAACGTCTAAACTGAATGCAAAGTTAAGGAATGTTTACCCTATCTTATAGGCGAGGAATTGAGGCCAAGAAAGACCAAATTCGGAGCAGGTTAGTTTGTGCTTAAATTGCCTGGCACCCTCTGACAAAAGTCAGTCAAGATTTCACAGACCTACAGAAGAACCAAGAGTCCAAATCAGGTAGTACATGCTTACAATTGCTAGCTGAGTTATAAGCTTCCAGTTTCTTTAATAAAAGCCTGTAGTTAACACCAAAAGAATCTGTGGCTGAAGGGGAGTTGCAGATATGATCAATGGTAAATCCAGAAAAAGGAAAATAAATTCTAAATTATTTCTTATTACTAGAGAAGGGTATGGAACTAAAAAATAACAAAGATTGCTGACCAAGAGGTACTGGACTGTCACTGAACACATACACCAAGAGAGTTCAGGTCTCTTAGGCTTCATATAAGTACATGTAGGAAAAAAGAAAATTCAGAAATAATTGAGAACAGAATTAAAATCTACTTTTGTGGAAAGCAAAAGTAGAGTTGCAGAGAATCACAGGTAGCATGAATAATCCATTACAACTTCTCAAATAAAAAAGAAAACGAAAAAGGACAAACAACAAAATAGACAACAGCTTACATTGGACATCTTGGAATTTAAATAGCTGCAAAGCCTGGAGAAGGGGAAGGGATTAAAATGCAATCAAATATAAAAAGCATCGGAGGAAGCAGCACTACTCTGACTGCTTACAGGAAAGCTGTAAACATAAAGAAATATTACCCTGCCATTAAAAAAAGACCACAAACAAATGGTAAAGAATAAAATTCCAACACAGCTGAAAAGCATACTTTGTAAAACCATGGAGCACTAATGGGGTTTGTGTAGTTTGACACAGCCCTGTAGAACAACAATGGGAGTAAGGAATAATAACTGGAAAATAAACACAAAGGAAAACAAAGAACTGCACTAGGAACAGATCTTTAACGGAAGTAACAGAGTTAATGTACATCCCTTGGGAACCATCAGTGGGTGCAGGAAACATTACAGTACACTGTTCCTAGGAGCCTAACTGCCTCATCCCTGCTCCAGCAACTCCAGTGCCTGAGCCTAGGAGAGCTGAGGGAAAAACACGTGGGCTTATTGCAGCAACTGTGTGAAAGAAAATCCAGCAGATGAAAACAACAGCCTCATTACAAAGATTAGAGGGACTGAACTGCTACATCTCAAGTTTTCTGAGTAGTTTCTGGCCTCAAGCACCAAGAAACTATCACTCATAGATAGAACTCTCAGGTGGCACTATTTTGAATAGGATTACCATTGCAGCAAGATTTTAAAATATGAACGACATCTGCAGCTATAGGACTGAAGACTGGACTAATGAACCTTGACAAGATGAATTACCCAGGCTCAATGCCTTCAGTTTCAGCATTTTCAGTAGGCTGGAATTTCAAGCTTAGTGAAACATGCCATTCACACCCAAGCCAACAAGATCCAAGAGTGACAAGAAACCCTGTCCTCAATTCAGAAAACAAAGGCTTGTGCTACAGAGACCTTTTCTCCATCAGTGTGCAGACAAATGGCACTCTCTGACTTGCTCCTTTACATGTGAACAGCAGCATCATTTCACCTTTCCTTCCCCATGCTTACCTTCTGTCTGCCTTTCTCTATAAGCTGCAGCAACTCATTTCTCATTTTTTCTTGGCAATTAACACTGCTCCTTCTGCAAGGGAAGGGGTTTAAATTTTTTTACTTTCTTTTTTTTTTAAGACACACCTTGTAGTATTCTCCATCACTAAGTTTCTGTTTCTCTTGTGGCAACTGCTTTCCAAAAAGCTTTCTTCCACCAAATGAGATCTTAACATCTCGGGTCACTTCCTCTCCAAGATCAAACCCAAGCAAGTGGAAACACCTCAGCTCTTCCTTTCTCCTTAGAGACAGTTTTACACAGCCAAGGAAACAAGACCTGGAGATTCAGAGCAGCTCCCACGTGGTCCCACCTTGGCTCCATCAAGCAGGGCAGTCAGTAATGAAAAGGCTGCTCAGTGACAGATGGTAAGAATAAGGAAATGCATAAGGAAACCCATAAAAACCAGCAAGGCATTAGAGACCCATGCAGGAGAACTAAAGTACTGCAAAACAGTGCGAGAACTGAACAGATCGAGTGATGGCTCCAGAAGGGAACACAAGAGCTCCCAAATCAAAAAAGCACTTTTCTACACTGAACTGGTGGACACTTAAAGAGAACCAAATGTGCAAACAGGAGAGAGACAGAACTGAGGAACTGTCAGAAAAGGAATCATTAAAAAATGAAGGAAATAGAAGATCTGTAAGTTTTTGTTTATTTTGAGAAAAGCAGACCCTGGAAGGTGAAGAATTCTATGAAGTCATACAGAATAAACCAAAATTTGTATCTGATACCAAACTGGGGGGAGAAGGTAAACCGAGCTGAGGAAGGGTAGTGGTATCTGTGTAGAAAAGCATCAGGAAAGGGGGAAAAAAAGATCTGTTCATTTGCTAGGAGCACACAGACCACACAGTATTGCTAAACTGGGAGATACCCGATGAGCACTTTAAAACAGCTGTGAATGCTACAGAGAAAATTAAGTGTAAGAGCCATACTGGGAGCAGGTGACAAAAGAAATACATCACAAAATGGGTTATGTGAGGGGAAAAGAAACAAAGAAAGAGCCAATTAAACAGGAAAAATACAGGTCAGGTGAAGTATGAAAATATATGCCTCTCTGGTTAGCCTGGATGTTCAAAATCAGTGTATTTTAGAGAGAAGATGAATGGTACTGGTACAGGCACCTGGAGAGCAAGAGTATTATGAGTCAGGAAGAGACAACAAAAAACCATATGGCGAAAGAGCAAAGGAAATGTATCTGTATAGGAAAATGCTCTGGTTTAATGCAAATTCTTCACCTTACCGTCATCTAACAACTGCCACAAGTCACTCTCAGGGCTGCCTTCAGTATCTAGTGAGGAGTGAAAGTCTGGAGGTACTTTAGTGTTCTACAAACCTGGGGTGAAATAGCAAGTCCTCCCAATGGATCACCATCCAGGATATCGGTCCCAGCGTTATAAACAATGATGTCAGGTTTTAATTCATTTAATGCTCCTTCCACGTGAGTATGCACCTTCTGCAGGTATTCTGTGTCCTCTGTACCCCACTCTAATTCCACCTTGCGTTTTATGGCACCTAAAAAGAAACAGTTTCAATGTCACCCGATAAACAAAGCATTGCTTTGAAAGAAATTTAAGATTGAGGTAAGCAAGAGAAAAAGATACATTGCATTTTCATAGAACCTTGAGCTACAGAAACTTATCCAACTACTTGCTTTCCCAGCAAACGTAAGCACAATGACCTTGAAAAAATTCCACTGAAGAGAGAAAATTAGATGAGGGGGGTGCGTGGGGAATCTCTCAGACACAAGAGGAAAATGTGATTGAAAAGCAGCTGATGTACAAGTCCATTTACCAATCACCAAAGAAATCATAAAGAAAATTATTAAAAGTAACCTAAATAAAGGATAAGCGGAAGAAAACACTGAACTGCTATTGCAGAGGAAACAGTTGGTAGAAAAAACAAGATAAACATCACTGAGAAATCATTAAGATGTTTTATTTTTATCACAACACTCAAAGCCTACCAGTAAGGGATCATGAATTCATGTGAATTGCTTTATGAATGTCTAACAAGATTCAGCTTTGCCCTAAGCGTTTTCCATTTAACATTCTTACCCTGTAATCCTACCAGAAGAACAAATATCCATTCTTAATTTAAATCAAATTATTTCTAGTGCTTCTAATAAAGCATTAGAAGAGGAGGGTTGAGAAGGTAGAGGGAAGAAACCCAAAGTTACGCAGCCTAGCTTTGGGTGCTTTTACAGAGCTCTGTGTAACTCAATCTGAATTAACCAAACCTATGCCAGAAATGTCTCAAGATATAACTTCTACCTCACCATACCCTATACTTTGAATTAAATGATGGGAGTCTTACATCTTAAACATGGATTCGGCACCCACCAAGTATGCATGAATGCATCTGACACAGAATGACGGTTCCTTATTCTCTTCCCTGCTTTGCACCCTTGTTCAACATCAGTGAAGCATTTTTTTTTCTTTCCTTTATTTTACTGCATCAACATTAGTTTCAAACATTATCATTTCTTCATGATATTTTTCCTGAATTCTTTTCTTACAGTTACATGAATGTTCATGTAAGTCTGCACAGCTGTGCTCTTCTGGACAGCTCTTAGAACCTCTTCAGGGTAAAGAATCCACGAGCTGGAGAGAGTGTTAGAGGAGGAGGTGAACACATCAGTGTTGTTCTGATGAAGCCATTAAGAAGTAGAGACAATCATGCCTCTGCAGGTCTCTTGCCTTATCTCTGCAAGACACAGAACTGCAGTGATCAGTTATTACCCAGATCAAGGACTACTGATGGGCTCAGTGATGGGTCTGTAGGTTAGAACTAGCACAGCTTTTGTGTTCAACAGCCTATTGTCTATCTCTTGCTCATTAGGGAGCGTACTTCTACAGCTTTGACAACTGTAAAATGACACTCAGACCAACAGCAACGCTTTTCTAAGGCCTGAACTTTGAGTTCCAGATGTCAACTTCTTATGCTCGGCCCTCAGTCAACCCTCACCCAGGCTTTTTCCCCATGCATTTTCCCCTTTCTTTTCCTCCAAATCTGCATACTTCCAAACTCCTTTCCCTTAGTCACTCAATACTGTTATGGCTAAACACATAACATTGCTTAGCCATAACTTTTTTTTTCCCCCTCCCCTAATGAAGTGCATGGGGCAAAACAAAAATGTACAGGAGAGACTCTTAGGAAGACCAGGGAGACAGTGATCAGTTAAGAGTTTATCCTACATATTCCAACTCTTAGGTGCAATCTCTACCTCCCCTGAAAAAGATGCCCTCTCCGATCTCGCCTTCATCTGGTCACCTAGCCAGGTTTGAAGGACTGAGCCACTGAACTCTTATTTAGACACCTACACACTACAAGAAACTACGTATTCACCTGCCTCTGGCCACAGCCTTGTGCTTCACCATGCAAAGGGAATGCGTGTTCCCAGCTGCACTGGAGAGGGTGAGCTCAGTACTTCATGTTTGCTGACAAAGGCTTACTCTGCTTTGGTCTTAATCTATCTGTTCAAACTGTTGCCATTTCATCTATGAATAAAGGGATCCTTTTCTTAGAGAAAAAAATTAAATCTTCATTTGCTTCAATTTGTCTGCTTACAGACATGATGTGCTTTAAATGTAATTTTTTAGTTTAAAGCCTTGAAATACATATACTACAATTTTTTTAAACTCTTTCCTAGTTAAAAGTACAATACAGTGCACCTAATTCTTGCCAAGAATCCCAATTAAGTAGTCTTTTCAGAATGACAGCAGCATTGAGGAATTCAGCAGCAGAACAACATCTCCCCCAGTAAACTGTGATTCAGTTCACAACTTAAGCCTGCTATAAATGACAGTGTAACAGTATCAAAGATCAAACGAACTTTGGGCTTTTGCATTCCAAGGAACCATTATTAAAACCCCAGTAATGACTGGTGACAGGTCTCAGACACAGTGGGCACGTCACAGTAGGAATAAATAAACAGCAATAAAATCAAGCACCAGCTCTTAATGTTTGTCTGATTTCCTTTTGTTTCCACACTTCTTTCACATTCAGATGCATCTTCTTTTCAGGATGCTTATAAAACAAGTTCTACTGCAAAGACAACATCTAAGTAACTTTCAAAACATGAAACCTTTTTACATAGTATTAGTTAATACTTAGTGAATTCTTTTATAGATTTAGTGTAAGGCAAGGATTAAGTTCTAGCAGTTCTCTTCAAATCCAAAAGATTATTTAACTTAACTGTTCTAAGTGTGGCACGAGCTTTTACATGGACTGCTAACAAAACCCACCTCATACGCACACCTTGCTTCCAGAAATCCACTCCAGAAGTGAGGGAACAACACTACAGTGTTAACACTGTTGTGGTGTATTGCAGTGATCGCTGAAAGTCACATGTACAATGTGAAGTTTTCAAAAATAAATATCTAGTTAACCTTGGTGCAGGAAAGCTTTTTGGAATATGATTTTCAATTATACTTACGTTTAGCAAATCCATCCCCCGGATAAATATATCTATTGTAGGCATCCATAATATAGACCCGATGATCATCCATAAAGTCCCTCTCATGGCCATTTCCCTGAAGGAAATTTACAGTTAGCTACTCCTAGCAAACAATACAGAAATAAATCACCTGGAAATCCTACAGTAATTAAGCCTACAAAGATCTTATCTTTAAAACTCCTGTGTCATTCTCCTGTTTATAATCTTGAAGGTTATTTTGAGGCAGAGAGTTCTGGGGCTTTTGACAATATCAGTCTGAAGACTGCAGGTATTATCATAACCAACATCCTTCTATCTCTGAGAAGGTATTATCACAGATCTCACTGCACATAGAAGTAAAATAAATGAATATTAGAAGCTAAATGCCTTCAGCAGCATCACAAAAATAACTGTGACCACTAAATAGATCCCTCATCTTCCAACTGGGGGGGAGGGGAGTCACTTTCAGCTTCTGCAGGGATACTCATTCTTGTACAAGGACTCATAAATACGTAAAGCAGACTACAGCTTTTGATAATTCAAGCCTTGGTGAGAAGTAATCCCTGGAAAAATTTCAAATACTAAGGACCCAATAGTTTAGCATATTGTTTAACCAGGAATTCCCTACAAAAAGATTGTATTGGGTGTAAAGATGGATGCTCAAGAGACAACTCAGAGCCTGAATTTAGACAGTATTCTTTGAGCTCTCACTTAGATTTTTTTCCCACAAGAGTAAAAATCATCGTTTCACAGCAATCACCAAGATGATGGTATTGAAACCAGTGTATCATACAGCACCACAGCCCCTACCCACGAGAGAATTTCATTTAAACTGCAGAAACAGACATTTCCACAGATAATATCTTTTGGAATTCTGTTACATAACTCAAGTTCCTGGGAAGCACCAGAACTGCATTTCTTTAGGCTAATACATGGCAACTGCTGCTTATTTCTTCAGCACCTTTGTTCTACAAATAAAGAGCTCATGAACAGAAACCCAAGAATACAAGAGCCTCCGGGTGAACCATTTCCCTGTGGAAGGTGAAACTCGCCAATGCACCAGGAGCTGGACCACTGACAAGATGCAAATATCTGCACACTCAGAAAGGATCTGCTGAGCTACTACACCCACACCTCTTATTCCCCAAAGAAAGGAAACAAAGGGGCGATTTAGTGTGCAGACTGAGATTACCTGAAAATCAAAATACATTCCAAGAAGGTTTAAAAAAAAAACCCAACAAAACAAAACCAAAACCAAAAAACCCCAAAACCAAACCAAAACCACAATTAAAACACCCCAAAAAACCACAAACACATCCACACCCTGAAAGAGATGGCTCAAGAGAATCACAAACACAAAACCTCTTTCTATTGCATAATCTCTGTCCTTTGTTCATGGTAATGTTAGGATGCTTTAACTTGCAGATAGAGAAAAGATAGAAGATGGACAACTGCAGCCTTTAGGCTTCCTCAGTGCAATGGAGCTATTTTTAAAATGGTTTATTTACACATAGTAAGTTATCTTCAGTGGATCAGCATGGACATAAATTTGGTGCATTAAATGCTTTGCTAAAAATACCAGTTCTCTCCTTTCGGGATTTATTTTCGAAATGTTACCAAAGATGAGATCTGTTCTCAGTGCCCACAGTAAATCACTTTACCAGGTGAAGAGTGATGTGTTCTGCACTTCATTAGCCTGAAGACAGGCTTCCCATTAAAACACTGAAGGTCAAATTCATCCCCTGCAAAGGTTGCTGCAGCAATCATGCATGCTGAACAAACTGTAATTCTGGTTTTAAGAAATTCTTGTCTCTTCTGGAATACTGATCTACTCTGCAGCCCGTGTATGCCACTCCAAAATATTTCTACATCTAGCCACATGATGGAGCCACAACTCAGTTTAATTTTACCAGCCTTTTGGACCAGAAAATAATTCAACAACTAAATTGCTCACAGTTGCCATCATCTAAGATTATCTCTGTATTCTGCAAGTTGACAGTTTATACCACTATTAGAAAAATGGTATTTATCAAACACTTGTATTTCGAGCAAAACAATTGCAGCACTGAATAGAGGTAAGCTACTCACCTGGTGAGCATCCAGATCAATAATTGTGGCTTTGGACACCCCTTGTACTCTTTCAAATAGGAACTGGATATATAAGCAAAGAAAAAGATGGAGAAAGTTATGAATTTGGGTGATAGATTAAACTGGGGGCTTGAAGCTTGCCATGCCTTTTCATTTCATTCACCAGCTAAATGGTTCCAATATATTTAATTACAAAAGCTCTGGTCATTTTTGTGGTCATACAATAAAAACCCTACACATTTCCATCAGATGAAATGCATGTTCCGTGCATTTCCTAGTCATCTGTGCAGGTATCTGCCTACCTGCAGAGCAAGTCAATAGAGAGAAGGGAGAGATTTCTCCTCATCTCTCTATCTCCCACAGAGTATCACATAATACAGGATCAAAGATGTGTCTTTACAAGTCATAAGCTCTATGGCCCAGGGTAACAAACCCTCCTGCAGCAGTGCTGGCTCTGCACAGGGGTAGCGGGTCTATCTTGGCATCCCACCCAGCCAGCCAGCAAAAGGACAGGTCTGCTAGGAATTACAGAGCTGATCACTGGTGCTGTCAGAGCCTGGAGTGGAACCAGCAAACAGCACAGACAAAGCAACAGCAACAACTGGGCTGGGATAGCGTGAAGTGAGAGTTGCCCAGGCCTCAGAACATCGAGGAGCTCGCTTCATCAGATACCAATGACAGCACAAGTAAGGCTTGTCAGCAGGGAAAGAAAAACACCCCACTGTGATGGCTTCCAACTGTATAATCATAAACTCCACCATTTAGGCAAAGCTGCTGGAGCCACTTTTAGTAACAGAATTCATTTCTCATCCCAGTCTGTGAAGAAAAAATGATTTTGAATTCTTTGAGTCTTAGCTTTGACAAGTTACTATCTTTAACACAGATGTGGTAAACCCCAAAGATTTTGTACAAAGTGCCACCCGCTCTAATTTTTCAATCTGTATTTTGATGGCAGGAAAACAGAACACTGGGTTACTTCCCTGAAAATTACCACATACAGAAATTAGGATGTTATGTCATGTAGTGTGCTGCAATCATTAGAGCTTTTTATGTTTGATTATTACTGATACTTTATAAATAATCTAGTATACAAATATACCATAGTACATTTGATAAAAATAAGTCCTAATTGCAGAAAGCTCTTGCTTCAGCCTTTCAACAGCTAAATACCAAACGTATTCATTCACAGTCAGTGATTATTTTGGAGACATTCACATTTTTATTCATGACTTTGAACCACTCTGAGCACTGTATAGTGCAGCTTGATTCAGAGAGAGGATTGCTGTCTGCATTCATCTTTGACTATAACCACTGAAACTAATGTCGGATTTTCAGGTTCAACTGCAAGGCTGGGATAATTATCAGTGAGGATATTAAAAGTCAATTTGGCTTGATTTTGAGTGGTGTTTTTGCAAGTAGACATTATTAATGCAACTGTAGTGGTTCATAATTACATTCAGAATTCTGACCCCTGCAACTCTTCCCTCCCACTTCACAATACTGCACACACATGCTGTTCTGCCGCATCAAGTACCACACCTTTTTCCTATTCCTATCCATCTATAGATGGCTTTATTTTCTCCTATTGAGATGTAAATTAGTCCTTACGAATTTATGTGGATTTTTTCCATTTGCACAAACAGTAGGAAGTACTGGTTTAAGAGCACTTCTTACCTTTATGGCCAGTGTGATATCAGCATATGCACAAAATCCTCCACCTTTGTCACTTGAACAGTGATGAAAACCACCCCCTAGACATAAAAATGTTGGAGAGTTGAAAAGCCAGATACTAAGGAACATTTTGGTCTTTGCAGAGATGGAGCTTACTTACATGTCACTATTTTCTTTAGCAAATACCACTCCTAGAGCCGTCAAACCCTTACCAGCAACACAAAACGTCTCACAAGGTTTCTGTACATATCTTATGTGTGGCCTAGAGAGCATCAGGCAAAGTAGCTGCCCTTCCACCTAGCAACCACCCTAAGAACTAAGGAATGGATGTATGTTCAAGGCCAGGTTGGACACAGGGGCTTGGAGCAACCTGCTCTAGTGGAAGGTGTCCCTGCCCATGGCAGGGGGTTGGAACTGGATCAGCTTTAAGGGCCCTTCCAACCCAACCCATTCCACAGTTCTATGGTAACACACAGAGAATTCCACTGTGACCGTTCTGCTCCCCAGGCATGCTGGAAGGACAAAATAATCATTATGGGCAGGTGGGAAGAACACGTGGAAAGCTCCTTTCCACGCTGAACACTGGGTCAAAAACCATCAAGCTAAGCACTACGGTGTTAATCACTTGCACATTGTCATTTGCAAACGCTCGGACTAGAAGAAACTTTCAGAACTCCTCTTTAAAAACACAAACACACACTTTCTTCACAGGAAAAAAACGTACTTGGACCTCCCCCTCCCATACATCCTTTTTATACAACAAACTGGAACCTTTTACTGAGAAACCCACTACAAATACCTAAACAGGAAACTTAATAAGCTCACTTATATATCAGTAAATATGGCAGGCCTTGGGCTTTGTTTTTAATATCTATTTAACTTTTAATATCAGATGTTCACTTTGTAGAAGATGTAAGAAATAATGGAAAACCCCCAGAATTGATGGAAGCAAGAAGCTAGGAATCAAGTGACAAACTACTGCTTTCATAGTTTCCTAGGATTGCACATTTATAGTCACTGTAATTTCTTTTCATATAATTTCTTCATAGTTTGTTCATTCAAGTCTTTCTCGGGAAAACTTGCACATAGACACTACCTGGTCCAGCCCTGCTCTCCAGCATCCACCAATCCTTTCACTGCTATGACATATAAATTAGCTGATGATAAAATCTATGAAAATTATAAAATAATTTAATGAAAACAAAGATTTTCTTGAACTATTTACATTTACTCCAAATATTTTACCTTAATATTTTTTGCACTACTTCAATCCAAATACTTTTCCTTTTTTTTATATGTAGAGAGAGAGAGAGAGAGATATGCATACACGATACCATTATCTTTATCCATTATCTTCTTTTTCTTTCTAAAAATACTCTAATTATAAAACTGCAATAAGTTGATAGTGGATGAGAAAATAAATCCAGCACTTTTCCCATTTGTTTTACCTTTAAAATTGAATTTAGTCAAACACAACCCAGTCTCTTTCTATTATTATAATATACATCATGATAAATGAAAATAGTTATGTTTTTAAACATGCTATTTCAAGTACACTCAGTGTCATTCATGTGTACTTACCCACATTGATTGCCCAGCCTCTATCAACAGCCAGTTTTCCTGCCTTAAGGAAATGACAGTAAGAACTTCATGAACAAAGGAGGAACCATTTCACACCTCGTGCTCCCTCCCCACACGCAGCTCCTGGCACCTGGACTTGCCCATGGCATGCTCAGATGTTTCATCATCACAGGTCATGCTGACTCAGGTCTCTAAATATGAGCCATCCAAAACTATCCTCAGCATAATTAGTTGAAAAAAACCTGCGCCTTGCAGAGGTCAGCACTGACCCCTCAGAGAGAAATTATGAAGTACAAGTGTTAATAAGAATAAAAAAATGAGCAAGGGTCTCCCAATATCCTTCCTGTTCATGGCAAAACAGGAGGAACCTAAGCTTCAAACCCTGAAAATATGGATTAACGGTTACAACTCGGGGTGAGGACAGAAAAATGCTACAGTGTGAAATGTTCTGTGACTTTATTTTTTAAATGCTAATACATGCATAGTATAGAATATTACCAATCCTCTTTTTTTATCATCTTTCCCTCCAATACAGCAAAACTGTGCCTATATCTCTCCTTTGAGCTCAGATGACATTCAGGGAGGGGAAAGAACTGACAGAGAAGAGATACACAAGGCTTAAATTATGATATTTTAACTGAAAAATCTGACTTATTTTGGCCTTTCTTTGGCCAAGCAAGTGTTTAACTGCAGTACTCCTTAACGTCATGTCAAAAAGAAGATAGTACTAGTTATAATTTAAAAATAAATAAATAAGGGAAAACCAGATTATTCTTTTCCATAATCACGGAAAGAACTTATTACACACCATGTATGAAAAGAACTTTGAGTAGCTGAGGATTCTTCATTACCAGTATTTACATTTGAACAGTTCTAACTTAGTATTAAGGACGCTACTGGGAAGATAAACATCATTCGGTTATGAACACACTAACTTACACAGATTGGATCTCAAGAAAAGACTGTAGTTTCTGAACTATAAACCCCAATAAATCACAGGGAGAACACATTATGTGTGATTTAGCAGACTGCCTAGGGACTCCTCCCAAAAAAACCCATCTTCCCATATTGCTAAGAAAAATATCATTAAAAGTACAGATACACAACAAGGATCTTCATGATAAACAGGACCATTAACAACAGCAGAAGATTGTACTTCTGGCTTGTACTGCACAAAGTTTACTCTCTGATGAACCAAAACTACTTTTAAAGTACATACCTACTTCCCCATAATGAAAAGTAAAAAAAGATAAAACTAACAGCATATGGCATCAGGATCAATCCAAAAATGAGCAGCGATGGCATGCGTATTTCAGGAGGCATGATACAAAGACAACAGACACAGTGGCTAACTCTTCGACAAGGCCATGTTTCTAACTAGTGAACACACGTTTATGAATCAAAGGTAATACCAGCACAGTGAAAAACATCACAAAACTAGGTAAAAGTATTGACTAGTTAGAACCAGGTCGAAATAGCTACCACACACACTTACTGTCAAGGCTCTCAAAAAGTATCAAAAGTAGGCTAATAGGAAACTCTAGATTCTTTCCAATTATTTTTCTCTTCTAGCATTTCCTTCTTTCCTCATAACTATGGTACAGAAAGACAATGTGGCTATAATAAGAGAAGGCTCTGCATGTTCCTTATGGCAAAGACAGGACTTTGCCAAAACCCTCAGTTCAATGACAACTACTGACACCATTCGGAAATACCACACAAAGAAGAAACCTGGCCAGGAGTCAGAAGTGATGCTGAAGGATGAAACAGAGACAGAATGGAGCTACTTCTTTGTGAGCAACAACCAAACATTTAGAAGCATCTTGAACTATAGGAACCACATGAAACTACAATTTTTTCTCTCTACTATAACTGCATTCAGCCCTGGGGCCCGCAACGCAAAGATGGCTGTGAACCTGCTCAAGACCAGAGGAGGCCACAACAGTGCTCCAAAGGCTGGAGCAGCTCTGCTCTGGAGCCAGGCTGAGAGAGCTGGGCTGCTTCAGCCTACAGAAGGCTCCTGAAGGGGAGACCTCAGAGCAGCTCCAACGCCTGAAGGGGCTACAGGAAACCGGGAGAGGAGCTTTGGACAGGACAAGGGGAATGGCTTTAACCTGCCAGAGGGGAGATTGAGATGAGCTCTGAGGCAGAAGCTCTTCCCTGTGAGGGTGCTGAGGCGCTGGCACAAGATGCCCAGAGAAGCTGTGGCTGCCCCATCCCTGGCAGTGTTCAAGGCCAGGTTGGAGCCAACCTGTCCGAGTGGAAGGGTGCCCTGCCTGTGGCAAGGGGCTGGGACTGGATGAGCTTTAAGGTCGCTTCCAACCCAACCCACTCCATGATTCTACGATGATACCATTATGCAGTCTATAATATCAGGTTGGTTTTTTGTTTTGATGGGGTTTGTTTGGTTGTTTTTTTAACAATACCAGCAAAATCAGTTGGGTGCTACCTCCAACTCCTGCTGGTAAACTGACTACGTTCCAGGCGGTTTATGCAGGTTTGCATTAGGGAGATGAACTGTGTTCCACTTCTATCACCTCCACTTTTGCCAGTGAGCACCTTCTAAAGGAAGTAGCACTTTCCCTTATCTAGTGTACTACCATAATCCAGTAAGCCTAAAGATTTATCCAGGACCTAGCATTTCTTTCCAAGCTCATATGCATCAATTGTCGTTATCGTTGGTTTAACATTTGCAGTAGTTTACCTGGTTTTCTCATGCTTCTGCAGACTTTTAGGCTTCAACAAAAGCATCAGACATTGCTACACTGTACAAACACTTCCACATATTTCCTTACCTCATTATTCTTTGACTTTAAATAACACATACATCCAAGAAAACAGAGCAACACAAGAGAATTAAAGTACAATTAGGAAATGGGATTTAAGAGATGAGAACAGCAATAGTTGGAAGAAACAGAGCCCAAGATGGTCAAGATACATACAGGCTTTATAAAATAAAGCCATGTCCCACTCACAAGCCTAAATTAAAACTGGCCTCAGCAACTGGCAAGGATACTTCCACCATGATGAATGTCACAGGACTCTTGTACTAATGATTTTGGAAGAAACCACTGGCCATTCTCATTTAAGAGCTGAGAGCAATAAGCAGCAGTTAACTTGCTCCACACAGACAACTTCAGCATAGAGGAGGTGCCCTTTTGATCCTTGCTTCTACTATCAGCACATTCAAGAACTTACTGGACCTCTTCTTTTGCCACTTCTATGATTACAACTCTCGCCTCTTCCTCCAACCATGAACAAGGTTTTTCTGAACACGTGTATGTATGCCCATATATTGTTCAACTACTCCCAGTGCTTCACAGGATCACGAAGAGCTACATTATGTAAACACTACATTCCACATTACAAATAATCAAATGCATCACTTTGCAGCACAGCTCAAACATGGTGACACACTCAAACTTTTTTAAGAACTCCAGGATTTAAATAATTATGACCAGTGTTTGGTTTATCACAAAGGGAGTTAAGATGACCTGCCTAAAACAAAAAAATTGCACTGTTGGAAGATGTTTCTGAATCTTTACAGTAGAGATTAAAGCCCAGTCACAAATTATCCAGTCCATTCTACTCCTTTCTCTACTACCTTCTGTAACAGAAAACAACTGGCAAAGTCTCATTTACATACACACATGTAAATCCAGCAGCTGGATGGGACACAGGTTTAACAAGAGTACTAAAATACTAAAAGAAATTGTCATTTTTTTCTGATAAAGAATCAGAATCACCGGGTAGCTTTACCATTAAAAAAGAAAATACAACAGAAAAGTAGGATATTCCATCTTGCCTTAAAATCTGGTGACAACTTGCTCTCTACTTTCACTTTGTACAGTGAAATCCAAGCAGGATGAAACTTAATAGTGCCCAGACCCACTTACACACACCAGTGACAGCAGCAACAGTTCATCTCATGTCAGCCCCACAGAATGAAAGCAAACTTGCACAACTGCTTCAAACTTCTGGGCTCTCTCATAGACAGACTCAATCTTCTTCACTGTTTCTGAAAACTGTACTGTATTGCCTTTGATGTTCTTTAGGTGATTTATGTCTTTAATGAATTCTTGACACATTCATGAATGTAAGCATTTAAAAATAAGAAGCCTTGATTCCAGCACAGATGATTACTAAGTAGTTACGTGTCTGTTGACACCCAACTATGCATCTCCTCCCATATAGCACCATGGCTCTTTGGTAAATATGTGCTTTAAAAACTCCTTCTGTATCAGCAGTTTTGAGACCTCCTGTTCCTAGAGCTGGCCTGTATTTGAACACTGTTCAAAGCTAATTTCATTTCTGTATACACCACAAGTCCTCCATGTCTATCACTGCTTGCCCAGGCTGCCCCTTCCTCTCTTCTGCAAATTACCGACCACGAAATCAGATAATGTCTTTCTCCTGGGTAGCTGCTAACAAGTGGCAAACTGTGCTCATGGTCAGGACTGTAGAGTATCTCACTTCCCTCTACAGGCTTTGAGTCTCTGAGTTACACAAAGTATTACCACTCACAGGTTTATAGTGTTTTGATCACTAAGTTTAAATAGGATAAAAGTGACTCAAGATCACTTTACCATTATTGTTCCTCCTGTCTGGGTTCGTAGAGGCTTCAAAACTTTTCTCTGAACCACAAAATTGGGCAGGAAGGCAACTGGTGGGATTTCTGTGATTGTAGCCACGACAAATGACCACTACAAGGGGAGGAAAACAAGTTCCAATTAGTACAGCCTGTCTTAATGATGACATTTATATCTCTCATCAGTTGCAATCTATTGAAAAGGAGTTCACAGGTCCTTAGCAAGACTTTTAATGTTTTTAGGTGGAGGTGACCCAAACGGTCTTTATTAGTAAGCCGCAAATAGCTTCATCCTCAAGTTGTTAGCTGTGAGAATCATCACTCCCAATCACCATCATCAGGTTTTTGAGACTTTAGTATCAAATGGGAATAAATCAGCAATTTTCCAGCAAGCCAGTATTTCAGAAAATCTAACATCCCTGGGATTGGGAGGAAGCATTGTAACATGTCCTTCAGCAGCATTAATAGCAGGTTATGCTTGATATATTGTTCAAGCCTAGAGCATCTTTTCCTGTGTCAAGTAAAAGGATATACCAAGGTGAAAGGAAAAACAAACAGACAATTCAACTAAGAAGTTCAATACTGAAATGAGCACATAGTGAACATTTTAGCATGAAGAACTGACTGAAATTTATTTAGCATATTAAACACTTCTGGAAAATGTTTCAAAGAAATCTTTTGTTGAAAAGCCATATCATCAAGAACATGATTTGAAGGTTAGAGCACAAAATACTTGCAATATGTAAATGCTTGTTTTGCAAACACATGCATTACTTCAAAGAACTTCTTCTAACATTGCTATCAGCGATAACACTTCTAAATATAATTCAAAGAGTATGTCACAAGCAAGAAGATACTTCTTCACCCAATATTGAAACATTCAGGTACTGACAACGATGAAATCAACACCCTGCACAAAAAGTCTGAATAGATCCTATTTTAGAAGGGAAGAGAAAGCTCCAGGGAGTCCTTAGAGCAGCTCCAGTGCCTAAAGGGGCTCCAGGAAACCTGGAGAGGGGCTTTGGACAAAGGCCTGTAGGGACAGGACAAGGGGGAATGGCTTGAACCTGCCAGAGGGGAGACTGAGATGAGCTCTTGGGCAGAAGCTCTCCCCTGTGAGGGTGCTGAGGCGCTGGCACAGGGTGCCCAGAGAAGCTGTGGCTGCCCCATCCCTGGCAGTGTTCAAGGCCAGGTTGGACACAGGGGCTTGGAGCAACCTGCTCTAGTGGAAGGTGTCCCTGCCCATTGCAGGAGGTTGGGACTGGATGAGCTTTAAAGTCTCTTCCGACCCAAACCAGGCTAAGATTATATTTTCTTCAGCATTAGGGAATTTAACTAGATTCCGTACATTTACTGCTCAACTGCTGTTAGCTTTCTGCTCACAGATGATAGGAGGTAGAAGTAGTCAATTTTAATCAAAGACAATCACATGCCAGTTTCGGGGTGCTCTGACATTCAGAAATGCTTTGGCTTCCCACTTACCCGTGTTTCAACTACAAAGTACTGTGAGATGAGGTGGAAGGGTGGCATTATTCTTAAAGTTAAATACCAACTATATTTTGTGAACAGTTCATTTTAAGCTCTCACTACTTTTATATTTGTAAGACATTATTCTGTTACCATATCATCAGGCCTCCAACATTAACAAGGTACTTCAACTATTTTGTAATACAGTCAATCTTGATAAAGTCCTTTTGCAAGATATTTTAGCTTTTAAACAAGCATAATGTAGAGAACTGGATTCAATCCCATTGTTCTAAAATGAAATTGAAAGGTCACATTTGGATAAAATACATTTTGACTTCAAATGTGAATGATGATCACAAATTCTCCCAAAGTTTTAACCTCAATGGGAACAAGTGGGAGCAATAAAGACTCAAATGAACACATACCCTGCTGTAGGGGTTTTGGTGAATACAAGAAATCCATACAGGGTACAAGGAAAGAGTACGCACAGCTTTCTGTCTGCAGCTGGGGATGCTCACAGAGCAGTGCCAAGCCCAACAACATTCCCTGCTTCAGATGCAGTCCTTGACCGTGTTTATGGAATTCCTAACATACCAGGGAAGAGTCATGTGACTGTGAGGAAAGTCTTGGGGTTCAAGAATGCAGCTATAGACAAATTAAAATGATTCCCTAAAACCACCACTATAATGATAGAGAAATACATTGCCTCAAGCTGTGGACGGTTCTGTGCTTTTTTAATTCCATGTGCTGATTTTGTTTTCCAACATTTCCTGCAATAACTCCTCAGAACAGCTCTGCATATACTCAAAAAGAGAATCAAAAGCAATTGGGTTTATTTAATTGAATACTTTTTCACACTGTAAAAATAAAAGATGATTTTGCATAGATGAGGACTACAATAATAACATTTTCCAGGCTGTCAGTTGGCTTCTGTAACTGGAGTCTTCACATACAGCAGTCTCCTATGACAGAGAACCAATCCTTCACATTTTATTGTTTAATCACTGGTTTTTTACATTCAAATTACACATACCAGAATAATGTCAGTGACTATTTCTTTTGGTAGACACTTGCTCTCACTCAGCCATCATCAAATCACTGACTCCAGGAACATTTTGTAGACATGTACTTATGTAACTGAAGAGAAATGAAATCTTAGTCTGGATTCAGGGAGGAGTATCATATAAATTCAACAACATGCCTTCACTTCCTCTTTAATTATCAGTTCTCTTTAACTCTTCTTTATTTCTATTGCTAATAGTGTAAGATTTCTAAAAACTATTTACCTTCCTGTGTTCTAGATAATTCAATGTATGAATTTAAGTTTCAATTTTATAGAACTTTCACTCCCTGTTAAAAGGAGCAAAGAAGCCAGATTAACCCTTAACCAGGTATATTTTCTTTTAACACATCTCTTACTCAGTTAACTACTAGGCAGTATCATTAAACATGGCTAAGGGCAACACTATACCAAGGTTACATCCCTCTAGTGATCCAACAAAACCAACCAACCCAACCAACCCACCACCAGCTTCAGAAGTCCTTAGATTTCTTTGCTTAAGCCCAAACTCTCTAACAATATATAATGAGGATATTCTTGGAGGACTTTACTTACAAAGTATTACCACTATTAACTTTAGTTCCTTAAGTATAAACACATCCTTTTAGTAAGGTTAAATGACTTTACAAGTTATATGAAATTATCAGTGCTCAAGGACTAAAGTTAAACTGAAAAACTAGTACTAGGAAGAGAAAGCTGAAGTAGTTGCTGATACATCTGGATTAATACAAACAGCACGTTAATGATCAAAACCAATCCCTGATGTACTGCCTTGTGTTATGCATTTAGTGCATTCCAGCATTAGAAAATAGCCAACGACAGGTCACTTTTTTAAGAAATAAGCAATTTTGTTTGTTAATATCTAAATCTTAACTGTGTTTAAATCTTTGGTTCCTGGAGCTAGTCCCAGCTCAAAGGAAAATTCATGGATTTACAAATCCAACACCAAGCAACTAATGTGATATTTAGAAGCTTGCCTGGGACAAAGCTATTCAGATCCATCTTCAAGACATACTGAAAGTACATTTTTAGCTTGAATTACTTAAGATATCATCATAAAGGCGAGTAGGAAGATTGTAATTTTCACAGAAGCTTCCAGGTCAAGGTATGGACACACTATTAGCACTGGGAATAAGATACTGGGCTGGCAGCAATTGATAGTACCCAAGTGACACAGCCCAAAAGCCAACCAGCCAAAAAACAATCTGGGTGCATCAGTCTCCCACCAATGAGCTGGAAATATTAAAAGGAAAGAAACAAATCACTGCTAACCAAATACTGCCTTACCCTTAAGAGCTTTACTAGTCACTTTAGCTGCAAAGAATGCCCTGCAGCACTTGGGCTGCAGGTGTAAGCACTGACACCTGTCAGACCTTGTCCCCGCGATAGTATTCTTGTTCAATTTTTGTGTATTCCTACAGACCTCCATGTGACACATTAATGTGGACATGAAAATTTAGGTAAAAGGGATCTAACTTTTCTGCTCCCACGACCTTTTAAATTAATATTTTGCAGTAAATCACCACTTGCCTTCATACATTTCTCACCAGTGAAGTTTGAAAAACTTGAGCCAGGAAAAGGCACATTGTAGGGAGCAGAGACAGTGCTGACAGCACAAGAACCACATCCACTGAGGAACTGGACAGGGAAGCATTAACCACTTCTGAAGGAGCCCACTGCATCCAAACGAAACCCACGTTTTCAGCTGCAGTCACCAGCCCCAGCAGCATTCCATGCTGGTTTATCTCAATGCCGAATACAGCTACAAGTATCACAGGATGAATTGCTTATTTTATAAGGGTGCTTTCACTGCCTTCACTCCCCAGAGTCCAGCTCTCTTCCCCAGCACCCAGCTCTCTTCCCCAGCACCCTGCTGACACCATCACCACCAGACAGGCAGGCAGGCAGGTACCCCAGGACTCTTGGCAGAGGCACTCGCACCACTGGCAAGAGTCAAAGACCACACGCACTTGAGCACCAGACAACACTCTTTGTAATCACATCAACCCACTTCTCATGGGAATAAAAATCTCACGTTTCTAATAAAACTACTAATTTAAACCTACAGCATTTACAAATACGTAAAACAGACTAAGATTTGTAGTTCAACTGACAGACCACCTGTTTCACATCACCTTCAGAAAAGCACCTCCTGCATTCCACTGATGCACAAGCATCACCCACCTCATTTGCACTTCAGTATTTGTTCATTTATGTTCTAACAGAACTTCTCACATGTAAAAATGGTTCAAATGAAGACTTGCATGATCTGAAACTAGCTTTAGCCTCATTGCATACCTTCTTCCAAACTTTCACAATGCTGCTATGCAGGAAATTCACCATTTTACATACCACTAGAAAAAGGCAGTAAGTGGAAAAGTACTGCAAGCAAATTATCCAAAGTCCAGTCAATAACCTGGAGATCTAAGCTCTTCAAAGGAAGAACTGAAGGGGAATCACCCGAATTCAAAACGCCAAATGCCATGCTACCTAAAGCAGGGAAACAGGGAGATCCTTTCTTCCAACACACACCTAATGTCCAGTACACTTTGATCTACTTTGTGCACACCATTTTGTTTCTTTTCAGCCAGCTTCTTCAGCTGCTAAGGTACCAAATAGCACTTCTTACAGGGGTGCAAAATCTCCTACCAAATTTGTGCTCAAGTTTTAAATGAAAAATACTCAAATGATCCATTATTTTAAAGAGAGCTAAGCATTCCCAGAAAGTCAGGCACCTGTAGTCTTCAGAGCTGATCTAACACAAACCTACACTGTTTATTGGTAGGTCTGTATTGGTCTGAACTTATAAACGGAAAAGCACAGTAGACATTGGCTAAGGCCATACAGAGGCTGCTCAGGTTTCTTTTCATGTCTAGCCATGTTCTTTTTGGTTTGCAGCTAAGCACTTCTATTTTCACTGCTTGACAGGAATTTGCTGGTCTGACCAATAAACCATCTTCCAGTTTCTACAGTTCCAGGAAACACTCTCAAGAGAAGGAGATACAGTACATCACACCCGAACGCATACCACAGTACTGATTTGGAACACCAAGACACAAGTTATACAGACAATTTCCTGTGAAGCCATCCTGTAGGTAATAAAAATATTACACATTATTCCAGAGTGTGCTATGCACATTACACCCCGCTTCAAAGATGTGATTCAGTAGAAGAGGTAGGTGGTTCTATGGAATTAAAAGCTCAATATCAAGAATAGCTGCAGTAAGATCAAATCTAATGATGTATGAAATTGCATATAACCTTATAGCACAGAAAGAAGCCTAAGACAACTCAGAAAAGAAGTGTAAAAAAAGTTCACACAAATAAGAGAGCCCTTATACAGAAAGCAAAGACATCCCAGAAATAGCAATATAAGGACTCTTTCACTGTGGAAGGACAAATGTGACAAAAATAACTCCTTTTGAACTATGAAATGGAACATAACTTCTCATACAAATCTCTTCTCTGCCCTCCAAGTAAAAAGTTGCAAAATAACAGCAATGTCACCTGCACTCATCTGCTAATTCCACCTACAGGTGACTTAATATATTCAGAAACAGAGATCTCATGTTTATGTTTTAAAGTTACATTTAACAAATGGATGTTTCATCTAGAAATGTGCAATGAATGCTCTTTAGCCCCTGTGAATATGTAATCCTATATGAGCTGGTACTGGAAACCTTCACACACAGATAACGTGCAAGGTTATGCCCCTACATCTACCTTTCAACTCTCTCCATACTCCACCGATACAGGCAGTGTCTAAGTAGGAAGCCATTACTCCCCCCACAACAGACTGACAATAGAATCCCCATGTGAATGATCTTTTGAGATTACGTAAACCCCAGACTCACAGGGCAACCCTTGCACTAAAAAACACCCAAGGAAGTACTCCATCTTAGTGCTCTGCAATGTATTTTCAATTTCAGAAGAATTCACTAGAGTAAATCAAAACTTACACTGTTGAAGACAAACTCTGGTACCAAGAAGAATATAATTTACATGTTGAGCATTAATGTTTTCTTTATGTTCATGTATCTAACATTATAGACCTTCTTTCCCCTCCACCTCTCTCTAGTGTGAATTGCTTACTATGGCTATGGTTTTCTTTCAGTATTCTCAATAACAATGTTATCAAATGTTACCAAAATGTATCATTCTATAATATGTAAAAGTTGATTCTGTAACAAATCTTGTAGGCTGTCTGTTGCCTTCCACACTAATTCTAGACAGTTTGCTTGAAAAACAACATGAATAAGTACAGCACCTTTAATTTATTAAGGTAGCGCCTTGTGTGAACAACCAAGAGATCTTCATCAGTGGCTTCCCGTGCCTGTACAATCAAGTCATCTGCAATTAGTTGTTCTTCTGAAACAGGAGAGAAATATCAATTGGCATTGTATACCATCACTTCACTTCCCACAGTCCACCCTGCCAAAGAAGCTACTCTGACCTTGATGTAATTACTTCATCTGTAATTAAAGCACTGAAATAACTTTTGTTCACTCAGTGTTCACAGACTTTCCAAATACATGCCATCTACACACATAATCTATTAGGGTAGTGTGTATATGATAAACATTGTTTGTAGGAAGTTTTCATAGTGTAATCATAGTAACTTCTTGTTTAAACTGAAAGAAGGGACAGGCAGTGACAGAAGATGCACAGACACAAAAGAATCACAAGACTCCTGACAGCCTACTGCTTGATACACTGGGTGCTCATAGCATCAAATATTCACCATTCTTTAACATGCTTTAAGAAATTCCACAGCTGATGCTAGTATTTAATTCCCTAAACCAGGGAATTAAAAAAAAAAAAAAATAATCAAAATTCAGAACAAAACAATTGCTCGGATGTTGATGGAAGCAAACACTTATGCTTGGCTAGGGTATTTCTGTAATACCTCTATCTTCATTTAATGCCAAGAAATACCAATGACCAGCTCTTAATTCCTCCCCTTAGAGACCAAAAGGTAGTTTATGTAAAAACCTGGTTTTGTAAGAGCAAGTTACAAAACATTCCAGAACGTGATCACAGATCAATGTGAAGGAATACATCTGGATATCCTGCCAGAAAGTTCAAGTCAGGGTCAGCTAAACCAGCCAAGCAGCGCAGAAGAACCCGGCTGCTTTGCATCTGATCACTATGAATGACAAACACAAGGCATCATGCTGATCTCCCCACAAGCGTTGATGTTGAGCTGCTGCACGGCTGCAGCCTTCTAAGACTGTACCTTTTCCCCAGTTCTACACTTGGAGGAGGAAGAAAACAACTCATACATGTGAGAGGTTTTGTTCTGAAGTGTTATACAAGAACAGCACCTGCAACAATATTTGTTTTGGCATGCTCATGTTTCTCCTGACTGAGGCTCGAGAAACATTTCATTCATTCACTGGTGTCAGACAGATGTCAGCTTTAACAGTGCCATTCCTGAGGAAGGAAAAGGGAAGTGTGGAAAGATTCTCACTGGTGATTTTCTAGAAGATGGCAGGGAACCGGGTAGGTCACCCATTGCCAGGAGTTGCTGTAGAGCCAAAGAAAACCAGGAGCGCCCTGGGGTATCCTGTGGATTCTCTCTCCTTTTCAAAGCAAGGACAATAAAACAACAGGAAAAACTGATTTTCTGTGAAAGACTAAGAGTAAAAAGAGGACAGTTCTGTCAGAGAAGAGCTAGAAGAAAAGACTTCCTAGAGAAGGGAGAGAAAGGCAAAGGTTTTGATTCATTAAGAAAATTGTCATGGAACCCAAAGCTAAATTATTTGAGGTTGTTAAAAGATCCAAAACTCAGTTACTCAGTGGAGTGTTAGCATTTGTTTAACCAAGGTTAAACGAATACAAGGCAGCCTGAAGGCAGAAGGGCAACACTAAACTGGAAAAGATCATCAGCTGGAGGAGTCCTTAGGACTACATAAATGTAAGAGGCTTTATGGAAGAGGCTTGGCCCTCAGATAACCTTGGCCTTTTCCCTTGATGAGCAAGCTTAAACTTTAGGAGAAGGGATGGTAAAATTTTATAGGCCCTGATCCTAACCTTGGTTCTGACACTTGTATTTCCTTAATGCATTTCTGCCTATACCTTTCAATTAGTTTAAAACAGCAATAACAAAAATCACGGAAAGTTCTGTCTATCACCAGAGCTCTTCCCAAACAGTAAAACAATAATATGAGGCTGATAAGGCATGAATTCATACAAGCTGCACTTATCTTTCAGACTGAAAAGCAGCAGTTGCCAACAGACTGTCTGCAGCCTAAGTCGAGTAAGTTACACCCCGCAGCAAGCTGGTCATTAACATCTGTAGCTTCACAAGCCACAAGGAGTGCCCCAGTTCTTGCCACACGAGGTGTAATGGAAGCTATGCACACCACTCCCAAACTGCAATTCAGGTCTTGCAAGCCAAAACATTTGTAAGCTTACAGTGAATATTGGAAGGATTTTCCATTCGCTGCTACAAAACCAAGTCTCTCTTGTTTTAGACCCAGGCCTGGTCCTCAAAAGAAATATGAAACTGGAAATGCAAACAGCAGCTACCCTCAAAAGGAGACTTAAAGAAAATATTGCTCTTATACATTGATCTAGAATTGAAAGAAAGTGTTGGAATCATTAGAAATGTACCGAGTATGAAACACAGCACACTGAGCTATGTCCACAAGGCTCCACCATTCTGCACCTAACTTGGGCTGGGCTCAAAGGCAAGATTCTGGTGCTCACTTCAGAGGTGGAAACAGTTCTCAAACATCCTACATAAATGTTTCCTGTAAAGGCCATGCAAGGAAATTCTGCTCACCTTATGCTTTCATTCAAATTGCAAAGACCAGAAGTATTTTCAGATGGTCTAGTACATTGCTATGCTCCTATTTCTCCTTCCTCCTTTCTACTCAGTCTTGTAAAGCTCTGGGCCAGACTGAAATGAACCAAACTAGTTACTCTGACTAGTATTATTCATGCCTCTGGGGAGAGCAAATCATTTAATGAGCTTGAATTTTCAATCCTATTTCATGAGTTTCACTCTGCAAAGACACCATGACTGAGATAAAACCAGACTGTGGGTTTATTTAGTGGAGTGGGATAGAAAATACATTTTCAAAGAACTTAAAAGGCCCTGGTGTAGGATGTTTGCTCTAATATCACAATTTCATCTCTTAAAATACTTCATAGCCAAGATCTTCAACTATGTGTAACACATGACATCTGACCCACCTTAGAAATGCTACAATTAATTTAACTTCCTAAGAGAGATTCAGAGCAGCCCTGCGGAGAAGGACTTGGGGGTGGTGATTGATGAGAAACTCGACATGAGCAGGCAGTGTGCGCTTGCAGCCCAGAAAGCCAACCGTATCCTGGGCTGCATCAAAAGAAGCATGACCAGCAGGTCAAAGGAGGTGATCCTGCCCCTCTACTCTGCTCTTGTGAGCCCTCCCTTCGGAGTATTGTGTCCAGTTCTCGTGTCCTCAACATAAAAAGGACATGGAGCTGCTGGAGCAAGTCCAGAGGAGGGCCACGAGGATGGTAAGAGGACTGGAGCACCTCCTGTATGAAGACAGGCTGAGAAAGTTGGGGCTGTTCAGCCTGAAAAAGAGAAGGCTGCGTGGAGACCTCAGAGCAGCCTTCCAATATCTGAAATGGGGCCTATAAGGATGCTGGGGAGGGACTCTTCATTAGGGACTGTAGGGGGAGGACAAGGGGTAATGGCTTTAAACTTAAACAGGGGAAGTTTAGGTTAGATCTAAGGAAGAAGTTCTTCACAGTGAGGGTGGTGAGGCACTGGAATAGGTTACCCAAGGAAGCTGTGAATGCTCCAGCCCTGGAGGTGTTGAAGGCCAGGCTGGACAGAGCCTTGGGCGACATAGTTTAGTGGGTGATGTCCCTGCTCATGGCAGGGGGGGTGGGACTAGATGATCTTAAGGTCCTTTCCAACCCTAACTATTCAATGATTTAAGTGTGTAAATACAGAAGAACATTGAAGCACTCCAAATATGATTGAAGAGTGTAGTTTAAATCTACACAAGGAGCAATGAAGATGTACAGTCACTATTATATCAGCAATTACTAGCATAAGCCTGAACTAACTGCAGAATTTCTGGTAGTTTTTGTGCAAATGTTGGTCTACGAGGTACTTTCCATTGTTTTACCTTTCAGGAAATTGATAACTTTTCCCCATTTCCCTGCATCAAACGGATGCAGCTTCTCAAGTCCCATGAAGGTGATGTTGTAGTCGGGAGAATAGATGATGGGCCAGCATGCTGATGGGGGATCCTCATACAACTCAGTTCTGTGAGGCCTTGAAAAGTAAAAACCAAACTAGTCACCACTGGTAGCAACTGTTTAAAAAGTTGAATATTTTTCCACTAAAATCCCAAATTAGAGTCATTATTAATACACTTTACATTAGGAATGATTCCTGAAGATGCTATTTCCAACAGTTAAGGAAGGAAACTAAACACTTGGTCATTTAACTGGACTTCAGCAGTGGGGTGTCAGGGAGAGTAACATCCCTCACCTCCAACCAGTACAGTTACACTACTCATTAATGAGTCACGCACACCAAGTTCATTGCAGACATTAATTTATAGAAACATTTGCTTCTCCCCCTCGTCTTTCAAGTCTATCAAGCAGCACCTCTACTCTTAGAAGGTGCATCCGGTTTAGAGACAACATAACCTTCAAACAACATCTAACTAGACTCACATTTTCAAGTCTGTATCAAAACACATCTGAAAAAGCCAAACCACACTGCTCCTACGCGACACTTCCATCAAAGCAAGGTTGGCAAGATTCCTAGGATCTTTTCCTAGGAGCAACAGATTACTTTGTGATCAGTCCAGCAGAAGTAAAGAGGCCTTGGATTTGTACCTGTGTAGCATACAAGCACAGGACATACTCTCAGCTCTAGATTTCATGTGTGTAACTCCTACCAATGCTTTCCAATTTCTTGTATTCCCAAAATACAAGGGCAGACAGCACAGCCAGCTCTGAGTCCTCCTTCACAACCCGTCCACAGACCGGGCAAGCAACACTGTGCTCTGCATTTACAAACACCCCCCCTCAGTGTTTGATGGATGCCTGTGTGCACACAGAACAGGGGGGTTCTGTGCCCCCTCTCAGCCCGTTCCACCTCCCTTCTCCACCCCAAGACCCCTATTCCTGAGCTGTGCTGAGACCTCTGACTCCCCCAGATTTAGCTGAAGTTCGCAAAAGGCTTCCCAACTTACCGAGCGAGACAAAAGCGTCTTTGTCAGGTCAACAATACAAACGGAAAAAAGCCCCTTATTTCCAGCCTAAACATGCTCAAAACTACCCTTTTAAAGTCCAGTAAAAACAAAACAAGAACGCCAAACGCGAGTACAATGGAGGTTTTCACCCGTCCGCAGCCCCCGGT